ATGCTTTGACAAATTAAATAATGAATATTTTTTTATTTCTCATAAATTGCTTGATGATGCTCAGGTTCGTATTAATGGCTAGTAGATACAGAAGAAGGATGGCTTTGTTTGAAAAGTGTAATTGACTTACTAAAAAAAAATCAGTTTGCTATATACATCAGGATAGTTATAGCAAAGCATTCATAAATAAGGATTAAGAGCATGGGCTGTATAAGCAAACTAGGTTCAAATTCTGGTTTTGCCTCTCAGAAACTGTGACCCTGTGCAATTTATCCTGATTCCCTCTGTATCACTCTTTTCTTGTATGTAAAACAACGTACAGTTGTAGAATTTGTGCTAGGAAATATTCAAAAATTTGGAATAGGAAATATTCAAAACAAAGAGGCTTTCAGACTGAGGTTTCAGTATACACTTGGGCAAACAAGTATAAGAAGTAGAGGCTCTTGAGAAATATATGGAAAAAATGTTACAGAAAGCATGTAACAAAAATGTCCTTGAAAAATGTTTACCCAAACTGTTATCCGGAAGTATCCGTCAAGAAATAGATGAACCATTATGAGTAAAGAAATTTTTTTAAATATCTGTGGTGTTGGTCCTATTGAACCCTACAGATGAAAAGTCTACCTCGGCAGAATAGCAGATCACACTGCATTTTCACTTTGTGCTTACTCCTAATATTAGCAGATTGTTTTCTATGGCATATTTGGCCTCTGAAGTGAGGTTTCCAAGGTGCATTCGTTTAATGACTTCCCAACATACTGAGGAGTCAACCTCTGGTACCAACTGAGTCATTTGGGTTCTCTCTCTCTCTCTCTTCAGACCCTTGGAGTCATCTTAAATTTGTGCTCTGCTCCTTTGTGTTGTAGCTCTTCAAGTTTTGTTTCGTTTTTTTAGGACTTTGTGGCAACCTTAGGGCTTGGATAGTTAATTTTCCTTTGTTGGCCCAACCCTTAACGTTTAAAAGCCTCTGAACGATATTCATTCCAGTTTGTACCAGAAGACTAGGAGACTATAGATGAATTAAAAGAGGCTTTAACAGAAACACCTGCCCTAGGCTTTCTCAACTATCACCTAAATATTTCTCTTTTTGTACATGAAGTGTTTGGAAATGCTTTAGGCATACTGACCCAGAATCATCAAGTATGTCAGAGACCTGTAAGCTATTGCAGGTGGAACCTTGACTCTGTAACTAAAGGATACGCTCCCTGTCACTGGGCTGTAGCTGTTACAGCCACGTTTATGTGGGAGATCAAACTATAGCACAGTAAAATATCCAAACAGAACAGTTAGAATATCTAGCACAGTATGCTTAGGCATTGCCTTGTTTGGATGGTTGAAGAATGAAAGGGCAGTACACTTTAAGTCTCTTAGGAGTTACCCTAAATAGCCGCTCTTATAACAAAGAAGGAGCTCTGGTAGTGTAGTGGTTACGAATCAGGCTGCTAACCTCAAGGTTGGCAGTTCAAAACTACAAGCCGTTCCACGGGAGAAAGTTGAGGCTTTCTGCTCCCGCAAAGATTTACAGCCTCGGAAACCCTGTACAGGGTCACTTTGAGTTGTAACTGACACCATGGTACTTAACAACAACATAACAAAGATGTACATTAGACTAGTGATTTGAAGGTGTTTGTTTGAAATTTTGATGTGAGAATATAATCCAATAGCTGATAAGCCTAAATTGGAAGCACTGTCACGCAGTTAATGGCATTTAACTGTATAAATCCATCTGAAATGTATCTGCTTTCCTGACTCAGACTACAGATGATGTTTTATATGGAACAATTTCTCAATAAAAATCTTGAGTATATTTTGTTACGGTAGTATTAGATAAAAGAATAGCTATTGATTTCCTTCTAGCCCAGCAAATAGGGGTTTTATGGGATCGCTAATTCCACCTGTTCTTGTAAATATCACTGAAGAGGTAGAACAAGACACCAGAAAAATTTGCTAAAAAACGACTTGGCCACACTCAACATCCCTTAGGCCTGACTCGCCTTTTCTAGATACCTCTTTATTGGTTTGTTCCATATTACAAACAATTCAGAACTTTCTTTACTGATCATGTGAAGTGCCGTCGAGTCGGTTCCGACCCATAGCGACCCTGTACAGGGTTTCCAAGGGTGTAAATCTTTACAGGAGTAGAAAGCCTCATCTTTCTCCCGCGGAGCGGCTGGTAGTTTCGAACTGCTGACCTTAAGGTTCGCAGCCCGATTCGTAACCACTACGCTACCAGAGCTCCGGATTAATCAAATGCTGTATGAAATACCTATCTGGTACCTGCAACCAAAATGAAACTCTACTAGCTATGCAAAGAGGAATGTATTTTAAGTAAGTGTAATACTTAGAAGAAAACGGACGTTATACTCCTCTATTTGACCTTTTAGCACATGTTATATATGTAGCTACTTCTGATTTGAGTTCTAGTCTTAACACCTGACCAGCATCTAGATCAGGGATGGGGGACATCTGGTTTGCAGGCCATATAAGTCTGACAAAAATCATGTGGTCTGGCCCTGCCAAGGCAACTATGGTAGGGGGTGAAGGGGCTTGAAATTCAATCAATCTAGGAGCTTACCTTATAGCAACATAAATTTAATTAAGTGATGTTATAAATATCCAAATGGCCCTTGGCAGAAAAATGGTTTTCTACCCCTGATCTAGATTAATGAAGACCCATCTTATTTCCCTGGGTGTTTTGTGTTGACCTTTTGTTTCTTGAGTTTGACCTGAATTTGTTCTTCCCATTTGGCCTTGCCTGCTGTCATAACCTCAGTAAAGATCTACTTACTTTGAAGATGAGGTCTATTAATTCAGCAAGATGAAGAAAGTATTATGTATCAACCAAAAAGAAAGCAAAATCCTTGCAAAAGAAAGTATATTCGATTGTGGATGATCAGTGTTGCCTAATGTAGTGTTGATTTAAAAAAAACTGGGGGGCAATGTGCAAGCAAATATTCAAAACAGAGGATTTCAGGCGGAGCTTTCTCTTAATCGAGGCTGCCTTTGTTACCTAGTGCATATAGCAGAAATACTACAAGCAGAGGTTTTACAAACAAATTTATTCTCTACAGTTTAGACGGTTAGAAGTCCAAACTCAGCATGCTTCATGGAGGCTTTTTCTTGTTTGTTTCATTTGAATATATGTGGACCTCATGGTCCTTGGAAATCCACCTGTGTCTTCCCTTGGTCTAGGAGGTTCTCAGTACAGGGACCCTGGGAACAAAGAAGCTGCTCCTCTCCTGTCTCTTCTTTCTTGGTGTTAGGCATTTTTTTCTTCTTTTATCTCTTTTAAGGTATAAAGGTGATGCACACCACACCTCAGGGAAACTTCCCTTACATTGGTTCTGGGCTGTCACCTGAGTAAAGGTGGTGTTGCATTCCACCCTAAACCTGCCTCATTTATAAAACAAACATAACCTAATCCTCATTAATATACCTTCATATTGTCTCATTAACACATGTCATTTTTGTTGTTGTTGTTAAGTGCCATAAAGTCAGTTCTGACTCATAACAACCCTATATAGGGTTTCTGAGGAGCAGTTTGTGGGTCTGAACTGCCAATCTTGTGATTTGCAGTTCAGTGCTGATCCTATAGTGCCACCTCAATAGTTCATCATTAACACATTATGGTCAGGATTTACAGTACATCAGATCTCATATGGGTTGTAATTATTTCCTTATATAACTGACAATTACATATCTGCCAAGCTACGTCATTATATAACTGGCAAATCACTGAGCATCATGCCCAACCAAGTTGACACATATTTGTTGGAGACACAATTTAATCTATGACTTGTGGGTTAGCACAAACCATTCTTGGACAAACAAAGGAGGACGCAAAGGAGAAATGGATGTGCTGGGGAAATATATACCAAGAACATTCCAGAGACAATGTCCTAAAATATTGTTTCCTCAAACTGTTATCAGGAAATATTTGTCAAGAAATACATTAACCATTCTGAAGATTGTTTTTACAAAATGTCTGTGGTGTTGGTTATGTTGAACCTTTTATATAAAACCTCCCCTTTTTCAGATAAGCAGAGCACAATGCACTTTCTCTTTGTGCTGCCAACTTGAGATGCTATTCCTCAGTAAAACTGTTTGTTCTTAAATCCTAACAGAGTAGGAGACGTTGTTCTTCAACACGTTAAGTTACTATGCACCAAGAAAGATCTCAGACATTGAAAATCCTACAGAGCCAGAGTTGTAAATATACGATCATTATGATTCAAAATCACCTTGTTGGTAACTAACAACAAAATTCTTATTTACTCACTTTTTATTCTTATTTTTCTTTTCATTTTCATTTTCTCCTGTGTATCTCCTTATTGTTATTAGGTAAGAAGAACTGACAAGTGTGTGAAGTGTTTACATTTCCCATTATTGTCTTTAATAACACTGTTTCGTTTCTCTTTTGACCCATAGCTCTCAAACAGTAGGTTTCCTGTTTTATGTTACTAACTCTGCTTGTGTTTCTAGACTATTCAGGTTTCAACTCTGCCAGGAAGATTTCCCTGATTGCTAAATCAGAGATTTCCTTTTCTTTGTTCCTCCAACCTCTTTGGTTCACTTCTATCAAATATAAATCAAGTTCTATTATAGTAGTTGGTTTTCTTCATTGTTTCTTTTGCCATATAGCAGGCTCTATTAGATCAGATAGAGACTTCTAGCGTGGTGCTGTAGGATTGGCACTGGACTGTGAACCACAAGGTAGGCAGTTCAAACCCACCAGCTACTCCTCAGAAACGCTACGTAGGGTCGCTATGTGTCGGAACTGACTTGACGGCACTTAACAACAACAGTAACATTGGATCAACTATATTCACTTTTCTCTTTGCATCTCCAGTGGTTATGTCCTTGTCTGGAACACAATCATGTACGCTTATTCTGCTCCAAACAGTTCATACTTGGTTGATGCTTAACTAGCATGACATTTTTCTCTCTTATGTTTCATAAAATAATGTTCATTCACCTGTGTTTGTCACTTTGACTTTCAGATTTTCCTTCTTGGAATTATCCTGCTTCCAATCCGCGCCATACTGGTTGCATTAATTATACTGCTGGCGTGGCCATTTGCTGCAGTTTCAACATCATGCTGTCCTGAAAAACTCACCCACCCAGTAACAGGTTGGAGAAGGTTAGTAACAATTACATTCAAATATTAGATAAGTCAAGATAAAAAGGGCTTAACATAGTTCCATGGTGTTGTCAGTGATTAATAGTCTTACTGAACTGCTAGCTACCTATTTTTAATCATTTATTTCTCAGAAGAAGCATGGCCTTAATTTATCCTATTAGAATTCACTGTCCAAAGATATGATAATCTTTTGTTGAAGTAATATATAATCTTTTGTTGAAGTCATATATCCTAATGTGAAATGTCTTGCTTCCTGAATTTATGCCCAAAAGCGATGCACGCCTGTTTCTGAAAAGCACCTGATTAGCATACTTGCAGTCCTGCAGCGCTACAGTACCTGGCTTGCTTTTACTCTTTCTCAATTTTATCAGTTGCTTTTGTCTTTTAACAGTAACTGAATACATTTAAACAGGTTTTGCGGTGGTATAATTAAGTGCATCTATTGTGTGGCCGTCTGTCAGTTTGTCAGTGGTGACTCATGTATTGCTGTGATTCTGGAAGCTGTGCCACCAGTATTTTCAATACCAGCAGGGTCACCATGGTGGACAGGTTTCAGCTGAGCTTCCAGACGAAGACAGACTAGGAAAGAGAGACTGACTACTTCTGAATATTGAGTCACTGAAAACCGTGTAAAAAGAAGTAGAGCACTCTCAGGTAGAACCAGAATATCAAATATTAAAACATGCTGAAGAGCACCAGAATATTGCCAGTTATTATGCCAGAAGATGAGCCCCTCAAAGGATGACTGGGGAAGAGGTGCCTCCTCAAAGTAGAATTGACCATGATGGTACAAATGGAGTAAAGCCTTCAGGACCATCATTTGCTGATGGTCCTGAATGAGGAAAAACAGCTATAAACATCTATTAATAATCAGAACATGGAATGTACAATGTATGAATCTAGGAAAATTGGAAATTGTCAAAAATGAAATGGAAAGCATAGGCATCAATATCCTAGGCATTAGTGAGCTAAGATGGACTGGCATTGGCCATTTTGAGTCTGAAAATTACATGGTTTACTATGCTGGGAATGACAGATTGAAGAGGAATGGCATCGTATTAATCATCAAAAAAGAACATATCAAGGTCTGTTTTGAAATACAATGCTAGCTGTGATAGGATAATATCCATATGTCTACAAGGAAGACCGGAATCCTGGTGTGGCTCTGTGGGTTAATACACTGGACTGCAAAGTCGATTTGAACCGCTAGGTTGGTTGTTCAAAATCACCAACTGCTCCTTGGAAACCCTATACAGGGTCACTATGGGTTGGAACCAACTTGATGGCACTCAACAACTACCACAACAAGGAAGACCAGTTAATACAACTATTATTCAAATTTACTCAACAACCCTTAATGCCAGTGATAATAAATTTGAAGAATTCTAAGTTCTTCAGTGTGAAATTGATCAAACATGCAGTCAAGATGTGTTGATAAATTCTGGTGATTGGCATGCAAAGGTTGGAAACAGAAACGAAGGATCATTTGTTGGAAAATATGGCCTTGATGACAGAAACGATGCTGGAGATGAATGACAAATTGGAGGGGAATGCTATCACATTCATCATCAAAAAGAGCAATGAAGTACAACGCTGTCTGACAGGGTAATATCCATACACATACAAGGAAGACCACTTAGTAGCACTTTTATTTAAGTTTCCATACCAGCCAATAATGCCAGTGATGATGAAATTGAAGGATTCTATCATCTTCACATATGGAGATGTCTAACCCC